CCTTCCCGGGGCCTCTCTGGGACTGGGGTCTGCCTCCGTGAGTGCAATACTCCTGGGTCTTTGGGAAGGGTCCCCAGACATCTGAGTGTTATACCAGAGCCTTGGCAGTTGGCAGGCTGTGGCCCCGAGCAAGGCCCAGGAACCTTTCACAGAGGTTTTGCGTTTACCAAGGAGCTGATGGACCTTCTCAGGGATTTTAGGAGGCACTGGCTGCAGATGTTCGGGACAGTTAGATTTGTCTGGTTTTGTGTTTTGGTTTTAAGCAGTATTGCGCCAGGGATTGGACCCATGATATCCCATTGAGTCAGTGGACACAGAAGGACAGCAGTGAGTGAAGCAGGGGGCTCCTGTCCTCTTTGCGGGAATATCCTTTCCTCCTGTCTTTGGCCCAGAACATGGACCACGCTCCACCTGGGCGCCGCAGCAGTCCTGGGGTCCACTCCGCTCTACCTGGCCTCGGGGCATGGAGGACCCGCACTGTACATTAATAATCAATTAAGGGCTTTTCATCTACCGGTCCAATCCTGTTAGACAATATTAGACAAGAGCAGGCCCTGGTCCTGATGCTCCGCGAGGATGCTGAATCGGAAAGGCAGCGGTGACATTTTGGGATGGATGCCACAGGCAACGAGAGTGGTGGCGTGGCCTCCGGCAGTTAGCGCTCCTTCCCCAGACGGGTAGCCACGGGGGTCGGTCAGTGAATGCAGCTAAAGGGCATTCCTCTCAGTGAAGTGCAAGGAGAGTGGTGCTGTCCTGCCCGCTCTGCCACCTGTTTTGGTCTCAGCCTATGGATAGTGCTGCTGCCATCTAGCAATGCCCGGGGGCACTCAGCTGGCTCGGTGGACCCCCACAGACTTCTCCCCTTTTGGAACCAGTGTTGTGGCTGGACCAGTCTGTGGGTTTCTTATAACTGCAAGACTCCCTGTATAATAACCATCAGGAAAATGGGGCGGGAGGGGGGAAATCCCAAGATGTGTTTCTTACTCCCAGGTGCTGGAGGGTACACGGCATGCCTGGCGCCACACAGTGAAATTGGGAGAGGGTGGGCATGGATGAGCAGGCCGTGGATCGGCTTTTACTGGGGTTCAGGGTGGGGGTCTAGAGTTTTGTGATTCCACTCTTTATTAGTGAACTTAAAACACAGGACAGGAATTAAAGTGTGGGAAGGGAAAAACCAGAAGCCAATCTAAGTTAAACAGATGACTCTAAAATAAAGGAAACTTTTGGGGAGTGGGGACAGGGAGCAGCCTGCTGCTTTACTGTTTTGTTGTGCTGGCAATGTGTTCACTTGAAATAGCTATGTTGGGACACCTGGGTAGCTCTGTCAGTTGTGCATCTGATTTTTGTCAGTTGTGTCTGACTCTTGATTTTTGGCTCAGGTCATGATCTGAGTTCATGGGTTCGAGCCCCACATTGGGCTTCAAGTCTAGGAATGATGGCACAGAACCTGCTTAGGATTCTCTCCCTCTGCCCTCCACCCCCCTCTGTGTGTATGTATGAGTGTGCTCCCTCTCTCAAAACAAAAAAAATGAAATAGCTGTCTTTCAAGTGGATGCCTCAGCAATGAAAAGCTTAAGTCAGGCACTTGTGTTACAACAACAAAAAACCAGTCGTCAGGTGCTTATATTTACCTCGTTACCAGTTTTTATTTAATTTTGTTGTGGTCAGAGAACACACCATGATTTTTTTTAATGTTTATTTTTGAGAGAGAGACAGAGCACAAGCAAGGGCGGGGCAGAGAGAGAGACACACACAGAATCCGAAGCAGGCTCCAGGCTCTGAGCTGTCAGCACAGAGCCCGACACGGGGCTCAAACTTATGAACCATGAGATCATGACCTGAGCTGAAGCCGGACGCTTAACTGACTGAGCCACGCAGGCACCCCCACATTGTATGATTTCAGTCCTTTTAAACGCACTAAGACTTGTATGGCCAAGCATATGTCTATTTTAGTAAATATGCTACATGCACTTGAAAAGAATGTATATTGTGTAGCTGTTGGTAAAGTGTTCCATCAAAATCAATTAGACCAAGGTGATGCTTATTCATATTTTCTATATCTTTATTGAATTTTTGTTGAGTTCTATCAGTTGCTGAGAGGTGTTGAAATCTTCAACTGTGCTTGTGATTTTTCTTTAAAATTTTTTAGAGTTAGTTTATTTTTGAGACAGAGAACATGAGCAGGGGAGGGTCAGAGAGAGAGGGAGATACAGAATCCGAAGCAGGCTCCAGGCTCTGAGATAGCTGTCAGCACAGAGCCCGACGTGGGGCTTGAACGCATGAACCCTGAGATCATGACCTGAGCTGAAGTTGGACGCTTAACCGACTGAGCCACTCAGGTGCCCCTGTCTTTTCTTCCTTTAAATGTCAAGATTTACTTTCTCCATTTTTTCTTTAAAGTTTACTTATTTTGAGAGAGAACACATGAGAGCAGGAAACGGGTGGTGGGGGGAGAGAAGATCCCAAGCAGGACCCCTGCTGTCAGGGGGCTCGAACCCACAAACCTCAAGATTAGGACCTCAGCTGAAATCAAAGTCTGAAGCTTAAGTGACTGAGCCACCCAGGTGCCCCACTTTCTCCATTTTGAAGCCCTGTTACTAGGCACATACATCTTTGTTGTCCTAAATCAACCCCTTTATCATTATTACCCTTTAGCAATTCTGTCTTGAAGTCTACTTTGTCTGATAGAAACAGTGCTACTTCAACCTTCTGTTTAGTGGTTACAGGTAATGTTTTCCCATCCACTTCCCATCCTTGTCTTTATAGTAAAAACATGACTCTTACTGAGCATGTAGTTTGGTCTTGTTTATTAACCATTAGACAATATCTGTCTTTTATTAATATGGTTGAACTTCAGGTCTACCATTTTACTTTTCAATTCTGTTTTCTCGCTTTCTCTTCTTCCTCCTTCTTTGGGTTAAAATTATTTTTAGCTTTCTGTTTTATCTACTGGCATTTTAGATATACCTCTTCTCATGATTTTTTTTTATGGTGGTTGCTCTAGATTAAAATATGTAACCTAACTTTTCATATTATTCTTAGAGTTAGTATTGTACCACTTCATGGACTTTGAGCAGATTCCTTACCTCTCTCAACTTGTTTCTTCCTTTATACATAAGAATAATAAACCTGTCTCATGTTACTTGACTATTAAATGAGCCAAAGCATATAAAGCAAATAGTATGTTGCCAAGAGCAGAATACGCAATACCTACTGAGCATTAGCACTAATAGCAGTACTGTTACTACTACTACTACTACTACTACTACTACTACTACTACTACTGGTCTGGTGGCAGCTATTGTTGCTAATATTTATTTGATTAGCATTTGACCTCCTGAGGCTACAGGAGAGCCATAGTGAGCATTCTCAGCAGCTTGAGCGGTTTGAGGTCAAATTTTTCCACCTGCTATCGATCACCCACTCCTCCAGATGGCCTGTTCCATCAATACCAGTCTGTCACGGCAGGGCCCCTATCAGCTGCCCCTTCCTTGCCCAGGCCTGGCCAGCCTGTGCCCACTCTTCAGGCTGCTGCTGTACCGAGTACAGCTGAACCAGCTAACCACAGCTAGTCCTTACCTGTCCTTAGGCTGCTTCTGATCACAAACAAAACCTCACTTTATTTTCAACACGTAGCAGCAGTTGTCCTGAGCAAAGTGATCTGAGGCCAGTCCCACGGGCCTCCCACTCCTCTCAAACACATCCTTCCCAGCGTGAGAGGACCTGCTACATCTTGGTCTTTTTTTTTTTTTTTAATTTTTAATGTTTATTTTTGAAAGGAGAGAGCAAGTGCGAGTGGGGGAGGGGCAGAGAGAGAGAGAGAGAGAGAGAGAGAGGATCTGAAACAGGCTTCAGTTCTGAGCTGTCAGCACAGAGCCCAATACGGGTCTTGAACCCATGGGCCATGAGATGGTGACCTCAGCTGAAGCTGGAGGCTTAAAGGACTGAGCCACGCAGGGGCCCGTCTTTACTATTTGTGTGTGTGTGTGTGTGTGAAAGGTTTCATTATGTGAACAATGAATGTCAAATATGTGTTTTCATAGAGAACACAGGCTCACACATCCTATGCTTATGAAAGCTAGAGAAGAGCAGACAGCTGTTGTTTTATTTTTTTATTTTTATTTTTTTAATATTTTTATTTATTTCTAGGAGAGAGAGAGAGAGACAGCGTGAGCAGGGGAGGGTCAGAGAGAAAGGGAGTCAGACTGAAACAGGCTCCAGGCTCTGAGCTGGCAGTCAGCACAGAGCCCGACGCGGGGCTCGAACCCACGAACCGCGAGATCATGACCTAAGCGAAAGTCGGACGCTTAACCGACTAAGCCACCCAGGTGCCCCAACAGCTGTTGTTTTAGAGAGGAAGGGAACCTACCTTGTGCTGGTAACTGTTAGTTCCTTAACTGCATTATGACTTAGGGTGTCATTTTAGTAGAAGTGTTAATTTAGGGACCAAGGAATACATGAAAAAATTTCCAGCGGACTTAATGGTAATTATATTTTTGATACAGGAGAATTCTATCCTCCCAGTCCATACATTAATAAAAATACAAATATAAACACATGTAAGGTTTTTAGATCTTTATTTTAAAAACGTGGTGTACACACACAAACTCCTCCCTCCCTCCCTCATCTGACTTGGAGGCTTTGCTCCTACACATTCTTTTCCATGGCACACCACCCGGCCATGGTATATTTTTACTGCAGTGTATTTATTCAATCATTCTTAGTGATGGTCGTTCACATTTTCTTTTGTCCTTATCAAAAAATACAATATACATTGATAAACCTCTAATCTTGAGTACTGGCACTTTATTTTTTCTTAGGGATAGATTCTTCAGTGAGACTCCTGGTCTGAAAAGTATGTATGTATATTTTTAATGTTTGTTTGTTTACTGAGAGAGCGAGCACAAGTGGGGGAGGGGCTGAGAGAAGGGGAGGGAGAATCCCAAGCAGGCTCTGTGCTGTCAGCGTGGAGCCCAATGCAAGGCCTGAATTCAAGAAGCATGAGATCATGACCTGAGCTGAAACCAAGAGTTGATGCTTAACCAACTGAGCCACCCAGGCATCCCTGAAGGCTAGGTCTATTTCTAATGTTAAGAGACGGTTACAACTTCCATTTCTAACAGCAGTGCATGAGATGAATCTACTCCCCTGCTTCCTTGCCCATAGTAGACAAGATGACAATTTTAGAAAGACAAAAACTTACTGGACTATATATAGATGTTCTGTCAATCTGTTCAGAAAGTCACTCACATTCAAGGATAGTCACAGCATATTAATGATATTCAAAAATAAGGAAGAGAAAAGGCCAGTTGTCAGTGACAGTTCTAGTGTGTGATTCATGACTGACTGGGAGAGGAACTTGGGAATTTAAAATCAACAGTAAGATACTTTACCTCTGAGTTATTAAAGTTTTTTTTTTAAGGTTAACTGTTAAACATATGGAGAGATCACTGAAAAGTCTAACTTGTAGAGTGTTGGTGAACCTTAACAGGAAAGGTTTAACTTCTACTCAGGTTTCAGAGGGAAATGCCTTTGGCTGATGACAGTGAAACCCAGGGAGTGGAAATACCTCCTTTAAACAGAATGTGGCAAAAATGCATTTCTAAAGTGGGTTGTGCACATGAACATTTGAAAAAGCACTATGACATTTACTGAGTTTGTTTTTTCTCTAAAGTGTGAAATGTAACACCTGTGAACCACATACACATCCTATTTTTTTGTAAGACAATTCATAAAATATTAAGAGAAACAGGGAAACACAAAAGTACAAGTAGTTTCTGGGTTACACAATATGTTAAAAGACATGCATTTGTGTGTAAACACCCCACTGCAAAGGAACTGCGCCCTAGGGACGTGGGCACCCTCTTCGGCTGTGGTGCGTACACTGAGTGACAGCCCACAGTGGTCTTTGAGTCCCTAAACCCCCTCTTAATTATCTCACTTACAGATTTAGGTGAATAATGCTTCTAGTAACCCCAGAAGCAAGGTAAACCTTCAACATTGTCTTCTGTTTATTGAAGAGGCAGCTGAATAACGACGGTCGGACAACTTACACATGGCAGCAAGCCAGAAGAGAAAACACAGGCTACGCACTACACCTGTTTCATCTGGAATGCGTACTGGGTTGTAAAGGTACTGAAAGACGCATGAGGTTTAGTATGGAAAATCTTATTCATGTCCTAATTCTCAGAGGACAAGAATTTCAAACTCCCAGTGACTGTGTTAAATTTAGAGGTAAGATAGGATTTGTGTTTTGGGGCATAATTCATAGCCACTCAACCCCTGGGGTACGGTCTGTAGATCCTTTATGCTACTGCCCAGACTATTTCATTCTTGAGTCATTGGAGGCTTTAACAAGCTCACGGCACTACAACTGAGCACGTCTACTGACAACTGGACAGACCCTGGGGCGGGGCAGCGCATCGAACTTGGGTTAGAATGCTGTTCTTAGGGGACCCTGTTGTCACACGTGTTTTGATTTGATGGATTGTATCCCACCACGAATTTCCATGTTCCTTCAGTACCTTTGCACGGTTTGCCCCCCACTGGCAGGGTTCGGGTCTTTCCACAGCACACGCTGTCGCCTCAGGGCTTTTCCCCCATGTGAACCCTCTGATGGACACTGAGTCGGGACTTGCGGCTGAAGGCCTTTCCACACTCGGAACACTCGTACGGTTTCTCTCCTGTGTGGATTCGCAGATGTAGCCTCAGGGTTGACCTCTGGCTGAAGGTCTTGCCGCATTCAGTACATTCATAGGGTTTCTCTCCCGTATGAGTTCTCATGTGTATGATGAGCTGTGAGTTCTGGATAAAGGATTTTCCACATTCACTGCACTCATAGCGTTTCTCCCCCGTGTGGATTTTCTGATGTATGATGAGGTTGGACTTCTTGAAGAAGGTTTTTGCACATTCATTACACTCGTAGGGCCGTTCTCCTGTGTGAATTCTCTGGTGTGTAGTAAGTTCAAACTTCTGGGCAAATGTCTTGCCGCAGTCACTGCACTCGTAGGGCTTCTTCTCCATGTGTGCTCTCTGGTGGACGATGAGGTTCGACTGGTGGGTGAAAGCTTTGCCGCATTCAATACATTCAAAGGGTTTCTCCCCCGTATGAATTCTTTGATGTTTAATGAGGTTTGCCTTATGGGAGAAGGTTTTCTTACACACGTTACATTCATAAGGTTTTTCTCCAGTGTGTATTCTCTTGTGACTGATGAGGAGTGACTTAAAGGAGAAAGCCTTGTCACAGTAATTACAAATAAAAGGCTGTACCAAATTTCTTATTTTCTGATGTTTAAAAATGGCTTCTTTAAAGACTTTCCCACTTTTATTATAGTCAGAGAATTCCAACCCATGATGGTTTTTCTCTTGCTTCAGATAGAGGAGTGCTTTTCCAAATCCATTACACTCATCGGCTCTCTTTCTTATATAGCTTCTATTACTATTAAGTAAGTCTGAATTAGATTTCAAAGTTTTTTCATATAAGTCGTACTTATAGGGTACTTGCCTTAAAGAAACAAAATCTGTGCTCAGATTAAATGTTTTTCCAAAGAGATTACCTCCTTCTTCAATTGGGGTTTGGTTCTTAAAAATGATAAACGGTCTCGCCTGCTCATCGGGATTGCTGTGGTCCCGCTCCATCTGGTCGTCAGCCTTCCACACCTCTAGGAAAGAGCACATGAGACACGCTCTGTCAGCCCCTTCCCTGAAATGCTAGAGAATGGGAAGTCTCCACCAACGTTCCGTCGTAGGGTTGGCTCTTTAGTGTGGGATCCAGTCTTCCAGGATTAAAAAGTCTCCAACGCAAATTTTGCCTAGTTCTTAAACTTGGAAAGACAAAAAAAGCCTGTGGCAAAAAAAGAAGTGGAGGCTGACAATGGACTCGAGTAGCATTGCCAGATTACAGAATGACCTTAAAAGGTAAAGTAAAATAAAAGCTAAGGGCAGCAAACAGGGCACAAAAGATGTGAGAAAGATGACAAGCCCAAGGATGAAGAAGACTTTGTGTTCTCAAGGATGTGGAACAGTCAGCACAGACCAAGAGAACGAGGGGACAATCAAGGGAAGGGAACAGCAGCCCAGAAGGAAGGATCTGAGTTTAGCAACCGCCACTTAGGCTCTGAATTGCTGCAGTCAGACCGGCACTTCCTCTCTACACATCTAGTCTCTTTCCCTGTTTTTTTCTCCTCGGCTTTTCCAAGCCACACACCTTCCTAAAAGCAACCCTTCTCAAAGGTCTGCAGAGATCCTCTTACTGCAAAGATAGAAGCTCTAACGTACAACTTTCGCAAATGGATGACAAGATCCTGAACCCATATTCTGCAGCAAAGAAAAAATAAATCCAAGGGTTCAAGATCCTTGTGGACAGAATCATTTATTCCATTGAAATACCTTATTTTTTTTTCTTCTAATGTGTTCAGTTTCTTCTCTAACCCAGTCCTGGTGCTGCTTTTATTTGAAGGAATCTTAAGGATCAGATTTACCCAGCCTTGACCTAGACCTTTAATAACCTTTTTTTTTTTTACAAATAGTTTATTGTCAAATTAGTTTCCACATAACACTCAGTGCTCATCCCCACGAGTGCCCTCCTCCATGCCCATCACCCCCTCCCCCCCACATCCATCAGTCCTCAGTTTTTGTCAGCATTCAAGAGTCTCTCATGGTTTGCCTCTCTCCCTTTCCCCCACCATTTCCGCCCTTCTTCTCCCCCTTTTTCCTCTGTCAAGTTCCTCCTATACGTGCAAACATATGGTATTTGTCCTTCTCTGTCTGACTTATTTCGCTCAGCATAACACCCTCAAGGTCCATCCATGTTGCTACACATGGCCAGATTTCATTCTTTCTCATTGCCATGTAGTATTCCATGGTATAGATAAACCACATCTTCTTGATCCATTCGTCCGTTGATGGACACTTAGGCTCTTTCCATGTTTTAGCTATTGTGGAGAGTGCTGCTATGAACATTGGGGTCCATGTGCTCCTATGCCTCAGCATTTCTGTATCCCTTGGGTAAATTGCTAGCAGTGCTATTGCTGGGTCATAGGGGAGTTCTAGTGTTAGTTTCCTGAGGAACCTCCACACTGTTTTCCAGAGGGGCTGCACCAGTTTACATTCCCACCAACAGTGTAGGAGGGTGCCCGTTTCTCCACATCCTCGCCAGCATCTAGAGTTCTCTGATTTGCTCATTTTAGCCACTTTGACCGGTGTGAGGTGGTATCTCAGTGTTAATAACCCTTATTTTCATTCATGTGTTCCTGGTTATTCCTGACTTCTGCGATCCTGCTGCCATCTGTGTTGAGGACAACGCATCACTCTTAAACTAAAGTCACCATTCTGGCAAACTGAATACTAATGAAAGAGCAGCTAATCACAAAGGTTTAAGACAGGTTAGGCAAATGTCAAGGTTCAAGTGTGAGAGAAAAATATAAAAGTAAAACAGAAAAAATGTTAAGCAGAGTGAGGCTGATAGTTGGAGGTAGGATTCTGAGATCTGAGGAATACAGGTCATCTGGTATTGACCATCTTTAAAGGTTGAAGGATCTGAAAAAATTGATTCTTAAAAATTATTTTAAAATATTCCAACCCATTCATAATCCCTAGGATACTACTTTGATTGGCTTTTGATGCTCCTTCCCTCTTTTGACATCTTCCCTAGAAAGTTCTAAACTGAGAATTCTTACTATACTATCTACACCTCTTCCTGTTGCTCCAACTTGAAAATCACATCTGGTTTGATAGTATCAGAGAACGTGCTAATGGAACATAGCTTCTAACTGCATAGACTTCAGAAATTTCCAAAATAACATAAAACTTCAGAGTCTCCACTATCTCTCAGCTTTAACACCTAGAGCTCCAGCCCACAACCACTTAGCATAATTCAGAAGCTGAGAATTTCTGGTAACAGAGAAAGGACATAAATGCTAGGCAAACGCGGAGCTGCACTAAAAGCTGTCCTTACCCACTGAGAGTAAGTTGCTATAATTCTCCAACATCACGTCCATGTAAAGGATCCTCTGTGAGGGGTCCAGTTGCTCCCATTCCTCCTGAGTGAAGTCCACAGTCACATCCGTGAATGAAACCGATCCCTGAAATGGCATATTACTCGCATTGCTTCGCATTCCAAAATGACCAGAATTTGGCAACGTAGAAAGGATATATGAAAACTTATTCATACCTTGTTGTAAAAGGGTCATTCGGTATGAAAATTTACATAGGACACGAACTGTACTGTTTTATCATGTTTCCAAAAAATATTTTTACAAATAAAATGTTTATAAAATATGTCTCTGACACTGGCATATACAACAGGTATCTAAGATTAATAAAATACTGTTTCTCTTCTGAAAATGACTATAGGGAGATAAATATGTAAACATAAATGCACAGCATTTAATGTTATCAGTACAGAGATGATACTCTATAGGTATTTTTTGTGGTATCAAGTCAGACAATATTAAAGAGTTAATTAAAGCTTTACATATTTAAAGGCAGCAGATGAACTTCCAGTTGCAAGGAAAAATATCAGGCATAAGTAGAGCTGTCTCTTCCATATCCAAGCCATACAAATGGTGCAAAAGCAAAAATAAACAAGTGGAATTATATCAAACCAAAAAGCATCTACACAGAAAGGAAACGACCGACAAAATGAAAAGGAACCCTTCTAAATGGGATAAAATATTTGCAATTCATCTGAAAAAAACAATCGAATTAATAAATGGGCAGAATATCTGAACATTTTCCCCAAGAAGACTTACACCTGGCCAACAGGTGCCCGAGAAGATGCCCAGCACATCACTAGAGAACTGCAAATCAAGATCACAATGAGAGACGGTCTCACACCTGTCAGAATGGCTGCTATCAAAAAGAGATCACAAATGTTGGTGAGGATATGGAGCAAACCCTGGTGCGCCGTGGGTGGAAAAGGTAAATGGGTGCAGCCACTAAGGAACACAGTATGAAGGCTCCTCAAAAGAGAGAACTACCACATGATCCAACAATTCTGGGTTTTTATCCAAAGAAAATAAAAACCCTAACTTGAAACGATATATGCACACCCACATTCACTGCAGCATTATTTACAATAGCCAAGATATGGAAACAACTTAAGTGTCCAATAATAGACAAATGGATAAAGAATATGTGGCATATGTACTCAATGGAATATTAGCCATAAAAGAGAAAATCTGGCCACTTGTGACAACATGGATGGATCCTGAGGACATTATGCTAAGTAAGTCAGAAAAAGACAACTACTATATCATCTCACCTATACGTGGAATCTAAAACAAAAAAACCCACAGAAACCAAAACAGCCAAATTCATGCATACAGAGAACAGACTGGTTGCCAGGGTGGGGAGTGGGCAAAATGGGGTGGGGTGGGGTCAAAAGGAACAAACTTCCAGTTATAAAATAAATAAAATATGGGGGATGTAACGTACAGTATGGTGCTCACAATTAACAATGCTGTATTACATATTTGAAAGTTGCTAAGAGAATAGACCTTAAAAGTTGTCATCACGTTAAAAAAAATTGTAATAGGGCGGCGCGGACTCTGAGGGCCTGACGCTGCTACGTTTGTTGCACATTGTGCGCGGAGGCCTCGGATTCCAGGTTGTATTGCTGCTTGACCCCGGTGGATCTGAGACTGTGACACTTCCCCCACCCCCTAACTCAATCCCAGGCAGCAGGGCGGTGTAAACAAAGCCTCCAGACTGGGACCTGGAAACGAGGCGGGGCGTGGGGCATAGAACTCAGCCCACCTTGGCTATGTCCTCAGCACAGGGAAATCGAACCCAAAGGAGTGATTTGCAATGCTTGGTTGAGAAGGGACTGGGGCGACGCCATTCTTCTCCACACAACCACCAAAGCGGGGCCTCAGGGAGCAGCCAGCGGACACAGTGGAGTCAAGACCTGCCTACACCAAACCACGCCCATCCCCGCCAGAGAGCTGTGTTGCTGTTTTTACCTGAGCCTGGGTTTGCGTGTTTATTGGTTTTGTCTGTGCGTTTGTGTACCTTTGTTCCCTGTGTGGTTGTCCATTTTCTTTTCCAGAGCTGCCTCAAGAAACAAGCCAAAGTACACATGGTGGAGAGTCCCAAATACCTCTACGAGTAGGGAAACAACCAAACTCCCAACAAGAGAAACCAAGAGACACCATTCAAAGAACACTTCCTGAATGGACAGGCCCTGAACAAAGAGCCCTCTTTAATACAGCAGAACTCGCAGGAGCAGAGTGTACAACAAGCTTTTAAAAGTAACAAGAAATAGAAAGCTTACCAAAATGACGAAACGGAAGAAGTCTCCTCCAAAGAAATTCCAGGAAGAAATGACAGCTAAAGAACTGCTCAAAACAGATATGAGCAACTTAACTGAACAAGAATTTAGAACAAAAGTCATAAAATTAATCGCTGGGCTTGAAAAAAGCATGGAAAACATCAGAGAAACTATTGCTACAAACACTATGGAGCTAAAAAATAGTTATGATGAATTAAAAATGAGATAAATGAGATACATAATAAAATGGTGGTGTCCAATGCATGGATTGAAGAGGCAGAAAGGAGAATAAGTGATTTAGAAAACACAATTACAGAAAAAGAGGAAGCTGAGAAAAAGAGAGATAAACTGATCCAGGAACATGAAGGAAGAGTTCAAGAACTCAGCGATACAATCAAATGGAAGAATATCCGTATCATAGGAATCCCAGAAGAGGAAGAGAGGGAAAGGTGCTTAAGGAGTCCTGGATTATAGCAGAGAACTTCCCCAACCTGGGGAGGAAAGTAGATGTTGAAATTCAAGAGGCACAGAGAACTCCCTTCAGATGTAACTTGAATCGATCTTCTGCACAACGTATCATAGTGAAACTGGCAAAATATAAGGACAAAGTGAGAATTTTGAAAGCAGCTAGGGAGAAAAGGGCTCTAACACACAAAGGGAAACTTATCAGAGTGGTGACAGACCTATCTACTGAAACTTGGCAGGCCAGAAAGGAATGGCAGGAGATCTTCAATGTGATGAACAGAAAAAATATGCAGCCAAGAATCCTCTATCCAGCAAGCCTGTCATTCAGAACAGAAGGAGAGATAAAAATCTTTCCAAATAAACAAAAATTGAATGAATTTGTCACCATTTTAGACTGGAGGACACCTTCAGATTGAAAGTAAGGGGATGGAGAAATATATATCATGCTACTGGAAGTCAAAAGGCTGGAGTAGCCATACTTATATCAGACAAACTGGACTTTAAAGACAGTAACAAGGGATGAAGAAGGGCATTATATAATTACAGGGTCTGTCCATCAGGAAGAACCAACAATTATAAATGTCTATGCACCGAATATGGGAGCACCTAAATATAAAACAATCACAAACAGAAACAATCTTATGGATAAGAATGTGCTAATTGCAGGGTACTTTAATACTCCACTTACAGCAATGGATAGATCAACTAGACAGAAAATCACTAAAGACACAATGGACTTGAATGACACATTGGACCAGATGGATCTGACAGATATATTTAGAACTCTACATCTTGAGGCCATGAAATTCATTTTCTTAAGTGCGCATGGCACATTCTCCAAGATAGATCACATACAGGGACATAAAGCAGCCCTCAATAAATATAAAAGAATTGAGATCATACCATGCACACTTTCAGATCACAATGCTATGAAACTTGAAATCAATCACAGGAAGAAGTCTGGAAAACCTCCAAAAAGCCTTCTAAAGAACGAATGGGCCAATCAGGCAATTAGAGAAGAAATTTAAAAATATATGGAAACAAATGAAAATGAAAATACAACAATCCAAACTCTATGGGATGTGGCGAAGGCAGTCCTAAGAGGAAAGTACATTGCACTCCAGACCTATTTCAAGAAATTAGAAAAAGTACAAGTGCCAAAATCTAACAGCCCACCTAAAGGAACTAGGAGGAGAGCAACAAGAGCACCCCAAACCCAGTAAGAGAAGAGAAATAATAAAAATCAGAGCAGAAATAAACAATATAGAAACCAAAGAAACAGTTGAACAGATCAATGAAACCAAGAGTTGGGTTTTTGAAAAAATAAACAAAATTGACAAATATCAGCACTCAAAATCATGAAGGAAAATGGACTTATTACAGCCAACCCCTCAGAAATACAAGCAATTATCAGGGAATAACTATGAAAAATTATATGCCAACAAATTGGACAACTTAGAAGAAATGGACAAATTCCTAAAAACACACTCACTACCAAAATTCACCCGGGAAGAGATAGAAAATCTGAACAGACCCATAACTAGTGAAGAAATCGAATCAGTGATCAAAAATCTCCCATTAATAAGAATCCTGGGCCAGATAGCTTCCCTGGGGAATTCTACCAGACGCTTAAAACAGAATTAATACCCATTCTTCTTGAGCTATTCCAAAAAATAGAAATCGAAGGAAAATTTCCAGACTCATTTTATGAAGCCAGCATCTCTCTGATTCCCAAGCCAGACAGAGATCCAGCTAAAAAAGAGAACTATGGGCCAATATCCTTGATGAATACGGATACAAAAATCCTCAACAAGATCCTTGCAAATCGAATCCAACAGCACATAAAAAGAATTATCCACCAAGATCAAGTGGGATTCATTCCTGGGTTACAGGGCTGGTTCAACATTTGCAAATCAATCAATGTGATCCATCACATCAACAAAAGAAAAGATAAAAACCGTAAGATCCTGTCGATAGATGCAGAAAAAGCATTTGACAAAATACAGCATCCCTTCTTAATAAAGATTCTAGAGAAAGTTGGGATAGAAGGAACCTACTTAAACATCATAAAAGCTATCTATGAGAAGCCTTCAGCGAACATCATCCTCAACGGGGAAAAACTGAGAGCTTTCCCCCTGAGATCAGGAACACGACAGGGATGTCCACTCTCACCACTGTTGTTT